TCCTTTCTCTTTAGTCCTACAAACATTTGTGCCTTCTATTTTTTTTGAAAAACACTCCCCCCAAATGTCCTCTAAGTTTCCTTGGAGTAGAATCTCAATCATCTTTGTACCTCTAGAAAAGGTGTTAAATAAAGTAAATAAATCTGCACTGGATAAAGATTATTTAGAACAAGGGGAGTGCTGGTCCCCCTCAGGTCTGTGTTGGTCAGATGTTCCTATTGTGTTTTATTCTAGGTGTACAATTTGAGTAATACAGATAATTGCATGTTCCTAGGAGAGGAGGAATATTCCATATGGAGGCAGTGGAAGGAAGTTGGATCATTTAGCCTAGACAAGGGAAGAGAAGACTTGAGGGACAAAAGAGCTGCTTCAAGTATGAAAGAGTGACATGTGGAAGAAGAATTAACCTTCTGTGTATCTCCAAAGACTAGCTAAGATCTAAAGGTGGAAGCTACAAGGAAAAAGATTTTATTTTTATTTTAGTTTTTGTGTATTTTATTTATTTTAAATATTGGTTACTTTTTTTTTTTTAATTTTTTATTTCTATATATATTTTTATTGATTTCAGAGAGGCAGGGAAAGAGAGAGAGAAACATCAGTGATGAGTGATTGATCGGCTGCCTCCCGCATGCCCCCTGACTGGGGATCGAGCCCACAACCCGGGCCTGTGCCCTGACTGGGAATCGAACCTTGATCTCCTGGATCCTGGGTCAATGCTCAACCGCTGAGCCACGCCCGGCCGGGCTTGTTTATTTTCTTTTAAGGATTTTATTTTTAATAGCAAAGCTATGCAATAGAGATTGTCTGCCTGGAGAGAGGTAGTGAGTACCTTGTCACTAGAAGTGCTGTCTGGAAGGTCACATGACAGGCGATTCTAGAGGAGATTGAGCATTAGATATTTTGTTGATTATACATAGCCTCTGACGTCTGTCTGGTCTTAAATTCTGGATGAGCTCCATTTTTTTTTTTTTTAGCCCAGTGTGTTCAACCTGGGCTGTACAGTAGAATCACCTGGGGAATTTTAAGAAAAAATATTAATGCTCAGATCCCACCCTAGATCAGTTAAATCAGAATGTTTGGGCCAGGGCCTGGGCATTGGTATTTCTTAAAAAGCCCTGCAGCCGATTCTGATGTACAACCAAATCTGAGAACTAATTTAGCTGAAACAAGCTGAATTACATAAGATGATATGGATTCGTATTTTACTTACAGTAACTTACTGTAAATGTAGCACTTGAGTTGTATGTCGGTCAGTATAATGTAAGTACCATCACATATTGTACTTATGCCTGATCTAAATGCATACGTCTTATGTCGTATTATTAAAATACAGAAATGAAATTGAATTTCTAACTGACCATAAAATGCATTTGCCCAGCATGGAGGGACCTTATCTGTGGCTATTTTCCTAAAATGCAGGTACACACACACACAAGTGCACACACCGAAGGAAATTTCTTGGAGCAGCTAGTAAATAAATGAATGAGGCGATTGTTGGTCTCCTTAGAATAATAAATTGGGTAGTATAGATTTGGAAAGGTAATGCATCCCGTTTTTATAAGGCATCCTTGGAGCCTTTCATGTGGATATCAGTCTGGGTTCTTGTCATTGTGTGCTGAGAAGGAAGCAGGAAGGGGTATGTAGCAATAAAAAGAAACACTTGACATTGAGTGTTCCCTTTTCCTGGGGCCACTTAAGGAAAATAAACTCAGTACCACTACAAATGTTGCAGATATTCTTTTGAATTGTTATGTTTAGCTGTGCCTGTAAGAAAAATGAGAACTATTCTGAAGTAGTTTCCTTCTTGTTTAATGTTCTGTTCCCTTCTGTTTAACTTTCCCTTTAAAGCTATTGGCGTCAGTAACCAGAGGGAAACCACTGTGGTCTGGGACAAGATAACTGGAGAGCCTCTCTATAATGCTGTAGGTAAGCTGTTGTGCATGGATGTCAAATGCAAGGCCTTTCTCCACTTGCAAATGCTGTCATACTAAAATACCTGGCTAAAACAGCACGTGGTCGTGATTCCTGCAATTCGATGGGATGGACAGAAGGGTCCTCTAAGAAAGTCATTGTTATATATGCCCCATTTTTTAGCAACTTATTCACATCTTGAATTCACTCTTTCCCATGCTCTCCCCTTTTTCTGATGATTTCTATTATACAAGCGAGTTGATGTTGCCAGAACTGTTTTATAATCCCTGCTGTTTCTGATACCTAAAAGAGATCTCCATTCCTCCTCCCCTCAGAAATCAAAATTACAAATGTTCGTAGTCATCTCTCTGTAAAGCACTTGTGTACCTGGTCTTCCCACCTAGGAATTTGAATCGATTCTTCTGAGGTTATGAAAATCTCACAATTTCAGCTCCTTCTGCTACAAATTAGGCTGTTTTAAAAGGAGTTCAAAAACTCACCCAAAGTCTCAAATATACCACCATTAGATATCACAGCTTATTAAATGTAAATGACCGTGGATATATTTTAGCATCACTCTTAACACGTGACATTTGAGCACCGAATGATACTGTCACTTGCTAAAAGGAAAATTTCTTTCTAAATATATAATCACAAAAGGCATTATTCTGTCACAAATAGCAAAGCACAGTTTTTGTCAATAAAATAACAGTGTGGGGAGGGGAATGGAGGCAGAAATTGTCAGAAATGGGATGATTTATAGAGTGAAGTCTTTTTACTTTACAGTGACTTGAATAATCTAGTTACTTTAGTATTAATTGGAAGAAAGTGATATTTGAGCAGAAAATATACTAAAAACGTGCCTTATAAGAGTAGCATGAATCCTTTGGAAATCATCTTTATAAAAAATAAGGCATTTAATGTTATTGTGTTATAAGATAGCATTTAGTATGTCTTCTGTTATTTATGATTTAAAAGGACTCCAAAACTGTCAAAAAATTGCAACCAAAGGTCCTATTTTTTTCTAGTGAAAAGAAGAGCCTACTCAAAGGAACCAGAAAGTTCCTGTTAAACTCTAAAGTCTAATTGTAAAAGTGCAACTTTGGACTTTGAGTTGTCATTTTAAAATAATGTAACGAGGTCAGTTGAAATTATACTGAAGAATATCAAGTCAATATTTTACCAGGAGAAGTTTCTGTTTGTTACGCACTTCTGTATGCAATCCCTTGTCTTCTACCTGTGTCCCCCTTCACCCCTCCCCATTTTCTGGGCTTTGGAGTATTAATTCCACCCATACCTATATGAAGAACTTCTTCTCCAAACTGAACCAAATGCATGTTTTGAGAACTCCTTGCATGTCTTGTGCTATACTGGGTGTGTTATGGAGGACAGGAATTATTGGCTGTTTTCTAAAACACTTTATAATCTAGTTTTGGAAAGAGACTAACACAAAATTAGGGAATATTTGATAAATTGTGTGTTGCTAAGTTGAAGAATTAGAATAAGTACAGTTTAGTGTGGATTTTGAATTTTTGGCATGCCTTTGGGGAAGGTTAGACTCCACTTTAGGCCTTGAAGAATGTATTGAATTACATTAGGAGAAGAGCAAATTGGAGGAAAATGTAAACAAGCTATGAAGGTGAAAATGTATACACTTATTTCACCAAAGAGTGAAGAGATGGGTCCAAATCGAGCACAGGGTGATTTATTTAAGGGTTTTAATAGGACTAGCAGTGATAATAATGCTCAATAAGCACTTTACCCATATTATTTCATCTCAGTGACCCTGAAGTAGGTTTTACTAGCCTTGTTTTCTAGATTAATTATGGAAAAGCTATACATGCCCTATAGCTATAAGTAGAGGTAAAGCCAGTTTGAACATGAACCTCTCCAACCCCAAAGCCTGCGTCCTAATTTGGATACATGGGGGCTGATGAAGATAGAGAGGGCCCTGGAAACCATGCCCTGGGCAACATGGGGCAAAATGGGACAGAAGTGGGTGGAATGGGTTCTTTCAAATGCACCTGTCTGCTGAGAACAGCTAGAGAAGTGGAGCAATGACAAGAACAGAAGCTACCTGAAGGACCAGAAGGCTACCAAAGCAGTGAGGAATGGTGGGACCAACGTCTAGGAGGGAAGGCAGGCCAGGGCGGTGGGCCTGGCATTTGGTGGTGGTGATTTCCTAGAGGTATCTGTAGATTCTGAGAGGCCAAGCAGCGCTCTCAGAGGTTATGAAGAGAGGAAGGCAAAAGGTGGAGTCAGGGGCTGCCAAGGATGGGGGTGACAATTGGTCAAATCACAGACTTTTGATTGGGACCGTGAAGGGTCAATCCTAGGAGCAGGGTAAACTGAAACTATTCCAACCTCCCCAGGAACTGAAGCCCAGATTCAGATCATTTTAAACCGCAGTTCGATTCAGATGTTCTGAGATTGCTAACGCTCCTAGTCTAACTTCCTTTTAGAGTTTTCATACACAATTTCTAGCTTTCTGTAAAAGAACAGTCGGGCATATAAAACAAGCCATGGCTAAAAACCAACAGAAACAAGTGGCACTAGAAACAGACCCATAGGAAACCCTGATATTAGAGTTATCAGATTTTAAAATAATCACGATCAGCATGTTCAGGCAATTCATTGACAAGCTTGACAACCTTAGCAAAAACAAAATTAGAAATTTAAAAGTGGAAATTCTAGAACCGTATTAAAAACTCAGTTGATGAATTTTACATCGCATTAGGCAGAGCTAAAGATGAATTCGTGAACCAGAAGAGACATGGGAAGTAAATATCCAGAGTGATGCACAGAGAGACAAAGGTTTAGAAAATACAGGAAAAAAAGTAAGAGAAATACGGAGTAAGGTGAGGAAGTTCAACATACTTGTAACTAGAGTTTGAACATGAAATTCTCCAACCCCAAAGCCTGTGTTCTAATTTGGATAGATGAGGGCTGATGAGGGTAGAGGGGGCCCTATTTCCAGAAGAAAAGGAAAGAGGGATGGTAAAAATTTTTGAAAAGAGATGAAAGATAACAAGTCACAAAATCAAGAAGCACTTTGATCCCCAGGCAAGGTGAATGCAGAAAGCCATACCTGAACATGTGCTGAAACCTGAAGGTAAAAAGGCATTTTCAAGTAGGGGAATTTCCGAGTACTCTTAGTGGACATGAGATACACTTGAAGAAGCTGAAGACTGAGAAAGGCTATTTATTTGGTTTTGCTTGCGATGAAGGTGTTTGTGCACTGACATCTTTTATAAGAGATACATTTAAAAGCATAGCAAAAGTTTAAATGGGCCCACTGAGGCACAGATGGCCCCCGTTAGTAGTTTTAGTCTTAAAATGCTGTGTTAATCCCCTGAGCAAGGTAAACACTGGTGTGGTATCTGAAACAAAGAAGTGTCACTTTGCATCCCTGCTTCCCAGTCGCTGTGCCATGATGCTGCCGTTTACGATTATGACCTCACAGGTGGATTGCTGGAGCTTTGTGGCCCCAGATCTGAAGCAGGCCTCTCAGTTACCCTTGGCTGGTACTTTCCTCTCTCCCTCTCAGCATTATTTTCATCAATATTCTTTTCCAAAGTGTTCCCACCACCCCCACCCTGCCACTTTTCTAAGCCCCTTTCCTCCAAAACCAACTTTATTAGTGGTCTACATACCTCGGTATCTAGGTAGTATTGAAAAAAGGTTTGGGTTTATAAATACACCACAGACTAAACTGATAAAGAAGTACAAAATTACCCAAGTGGTTCCAGTGTCGAGTGGGGGAAGGCTGGAATCAATGACTGTAGCGTGTTCATATGCACGTTTCACTGATGCCACCAGTGAAATGTCCTGGTCTAAGGAGGATAGAACATAGTCAGGACTCATGTCCAGGGAGGCAAGAGCCACTGATATGAGACCTTCAGTGTATTAAAGAGAACCACCAACAAAAACATTTGTCTCTGAAACAATTTTCCTTATTTAAATTGTATTGCAAACATTTTTTCATAAGGTGTTGGATTTAAAGTTCCCTATGACACATAACTTTTTAGGTGGAGTGTGCAATTTTAAACATGGCTCATCCTCTTTGCCTTTTTAAATTTTTACATATTGGTTAGCCCTGGGCCAATGATTAAACCTGTGTAATCATCTGTTGAGATCTGAAAGAAACTTGAGCTCAGGTTTTTTAAATCTTCCCTGGATTAGGTTGTGTTTCAAAGTGTTGGCATGAAAGAACCGTAGATGACAAATGACCTAAAACTCCTAAGAACACTTGGCCTTAAACAACAAAAGTGTGATTATTTTTATTGTTTTGCAGATTCTTTACTTTTGTAAAATGTAGAATATCCAGCTTTATCAAAATCTACTTACTTTTCATTGTTTTGGGTCTTTTATGGCACAGTTCTTTGAATGCTTGATGTCTCCCAATCCTGGATAAAGAAATACTGCCGTATTTTGCAATGATTGGCTTCTTTAACTCTGGCCAGTTTACATTTAAAGTAACTGAACTAAAATAATACTGAATATAAACTGTAATTGAAAAATAAAATTTAAATTAAAAAATGTGAAGTAAAATAACCAAATTAGATCTCAACTTTGAGGTCTCCGATCTTCAGTATTTCCCTATGTTCTCTTTAAGACTGTGAGGTCACCTTGACTATACCTATGTCATAGAGGTTTAATTCTAGATTCCGACTCTGGGTTCGAATCTGGACTTTTCCACTTGCTACGATTCTGCGCCTGTCTCCTCGGCAGTTAAACGAGAGCAATATAAAGTGTGGCCCTCATAGGCTTGAGGGGAGCGAAGATCATGTGTTAACATATAGGGCGTATAACAGTGCGGCCAGCTGCGAGGCTTCGGTGAGTGTTGGCCACGGCCACTCTTCTGAACTGGCTGGTGGCATTCTTAATCCAGGAATGCCAGATGGAAAGATTGATTTATACACGACAGATGTTCTTAGGGGAAATGCAGAGCCTACCCGGGGCCACACACTCGTCCCAGTCATTGGCATTTTGGCATTTATACACCTAACAGCTGC